ATAGAGCTAATCATATAGTTCGAAAGTTAGATCAAAGAACCTTCTTAATATGCCAAGTACATAAAGAACTTGGATATTTTGAGGTATATAGGATACATTCTATGTTTTGTAATCAATATTTGTAGAGTATTATGTATCAAGTGACTATGTATATTTTTCAATGTGAAGTGTGTGATTAAATTAGTTCAAGCTTTAACACCTTATTATCTCAATTGAAGCTATTATTTATTATGGATTTATATTATTGTTGGTTTTTAGACTCTGCTAGACTACTGGTTGTTATCTCAAGTAGAGTTAAATATATATTAATAAGAGTAGAGCATTTTAGCAAGTAGATTGAATTTGTAGTTTTATTACAAAATTCTTCAAAATTGATAGCTATGGCTTTTCTTGATCAAGTATTGGCATATTTTGGAGTACATATTGAAGTCTTAATGAATCAAAGAAGAAATGTTTTTAGGAATTTTGAAGCTTTATGTACTAAAGCTTTGATAGATTATTGTAATACATCTAGAAATCATCCTGAGGTAGACATATGACATATGGCATATTTGATACCACCTCTTTTTAATCTCCTTTCAAGAGATTAGATTCGTCCTTGTTGTAAGAAGCCTTTTAGCTATGCCTCATTTTTTGATAAGGATTTTAGATTTCTTCAAATGTATTTGTCACATACTCTAATAATTTAGCTACTAGAATACTAATTTGGAGGAATACAATTTGGCATTCACATCATTGTGATATTCATCTTCAATAATATGTATTTTGTAGTTCTAATTGATTAAAGGGGCTCCTAAAAAACTAAAAAGAGTACTTGAAAGTGTGTTGGATGTGCATTTGTATTTGGTTTAAATTACATACTTATGATGGATTTGTAGCACTTGATATATTGTATGTAGCAATCTCTGTTTATACAACAATTGTCATGTGATATAGCATCGGATGCCAAATCTTGTTGAATATATGTAATTTAATTTGGTTAGTGGTTTTTCATCCCTTGATAGTTTTTTTGTTAATTGACTTTGTTCATATTAATTAGAATTTGAATATTTAAGTGGAAAAAAAATCTTTGACTTGACATTCTTATCAAGTCAAGTCTTATGAGTGATTTTAAGAATAAAAGAACTTATTGTAAGGATTTTCTTGGCTAAGGTATTTTAGCCATTTTAGTAAAGCTTTAGAATTTCTTTTATTTTCACATTTGTATTTGTAGATTCTCCCTTTGTGGTGTGAGAGACAACTTGACTTAGTTTGATATAAATTTCTAATCTTTCTTTGAAAGTGTGTTGAATGTGTATTTTTATTTGGTTTAATTTACATATTTTATGATTTATTTGTAGCACTCAATGTATTGTGTATAACGATCTTTATTTACATAAAAACTTCTTTAACTACTACTTATACTTAAACAACCATTGTCTTTTATTTCTATAGATTTGATCACAAATCTTTTAATTTTAAGTTTTAATAATTCTATATTCGTGATAGTAGATTGTTTTATCAAGAGAGCACATTTTATACTATGTATAAAATCTATTATAGGTAAAAAAAATAATTGATTTTTTTACCATATTTATTGCTATCATAGATTGTTAAAAGATATTATATTAAATAATGGGACTCAATTTGTATCAAGTTTTTAAAGAACCATTCTTAAAATATTAAAGATAAATATAAAACTATCATTAACTTTATATCTTCAAATTAATGGACAAACAATACATATAAATCAAGTTTTGGAACAATATTTAAGATGCACCATCAACTACCATCAAAATAATTTGGCAAATTTTTTGCCATCAGTAGAATTTTTCTACAATAATATAATATTTTTTTCTATTCAACAATCATATTTTTATGCTAATTATGATTATCATCTATAATTTAATATTTTAAACTTCTCAAGTGTTGATAATTCTAGAATAAAAGATTTGATAAATTATTTATTAGAGCTACATGCAATAATGAAGGTACAATTAAAAGAAGCTTAAGCAAAATAGAAAATTAATGAAAATGCATATTAGAAAGAATAAGCTTTAATTCTATTCTAACAATAAACTATGATTATTGTGTTGTAACAACAAGATTAGTTTCTTTGCAAGAAGTTGGATTTTTGTAGGCTTGGACCATTTTGTATTTGTAAAGAAATTAATCTAGTTGATTATTGATTATATCTATTGGAGTCTATGAAGATCTATCTTCTATTCCATTTATCTTTTTTTGAGCCATACAAAATTGTGAATATATTAAAAAGAAGACAAATGCCACATTTTTCTTATAGAAGTAGACAATATTCAAGAATTTAAAATTGAAAAAGTCTTAAGTTTAAGGTTGTATCAAAATATGTTAGAATATCTTATAAATTAGCACAAATATGATATTAAAGAATGTATATGGAACCAAGATAAGAAGCTTGTAAATTCAATAAAGAATATTGATGCTTTTCATTAATAACATTTGTAAAAATTAAGATAAAGTATCAAGTAATTTTATACTATAAAAGAAAGAAGATATAATAAAGATTGCATGCTATCTTTTATCCTTATTTTTGGTTTTAATATATGTGTGGCACTAAGAAGATAGAATTCAATAATTAATAAATTTAACTCAAGAGCTATTATTTGCTAAGTTATCTAACAAAGCATCAAGATTGTCATAGCCTTTAAGATAATATAATAGAGATAAAGATCCTCAAGAATGGCATGTTTGATATTATAGCCGTAAAAGAGACTTTAAATATTTGGTGATATTATTGAAAGTAGGAACTACCTTGAATGATATTCTAAATATTTTATTTTAAAAAATTTATAAAAATCTCAAAAATAATTAAATAATAGAATGGTATTATTGCCTTGTTATGAAATACTATCAATGGTTGAGAGAACCTATGAACTACTTTTGAAGATAAAAAAGATTAGAGTATGTATCAAATATAATTTGTTGCATCTTGGACTTCTTCAACTTGTGATCACCACTTTTTGTGGAACTTGTTTAAAAAAGAAAAAAAGAGAAATAATGATACAAATATATATATATATATATATTAAAAGAATTAAATAGAAGTAAATAGAAGTAAATAGAAGTAATTAAATATAATAATATTTTATAGAAAAGCTTTTTAGAAGCTTTATAAACTTAAATTTGAATTTATACATGTTTATAGATAAGTGATAGGTTAAAAACTTTGCTAATAAGGTGGCCATATGTTGCACATATTATAACATGTGGTAAAAGTTGGCAATTTGGTGCACATGTAGGGAACTTGTCTTGCAAATTAGGCATGTGTTGGACGACGTATAGAACATTACCACATAGCTCTTAGTTAGATAGAATATATAAAGGCAAAAGTAAGGCCTTCTTTACTCTTGTCAATATCTTTTTTGTTCTTAGTCTTGTTTCAAGAGTCCATAGTCTTCTTGTGTTAGACAATAGTTATTCTAGTCTTAATATTATATTATCTTTGAATAAATATTTATTTTCTTTGAGTGAAATAAGAGTGTATTGATCCTTTATATGTTTGTAAGTCATATCCTTGATAATAATTACATCACATAGTAGTATTATAAAATTTCATTTTGTTGTCTCATTTATTCTTATATTAAGAAGACATTTTACTATCTAATAATCTATCTTATCATTTGAAGAAGGGAGCCTTGTTGGTGAATTTATTTTGAATTATTGATCAATTAATTTATTCATATTATATTAGGTCTTTCCATATTAAAGTTCTTATATGGAGGTTATTCAATGTTTCTTTTTCAAAGGCAAAGTAATTTCTTTAGCTCCATCATTTTGCAATCATAAGCTTTTAAATAGAAAATAAATCTTTTAAAAATCTTTAAAATGATATAGGAATTTTTCTATAAAGATAGCTTCTTTTTAAAAAAAGATTTTCCAATGGCCCTACTCGTTGGGATTTGAAGTAAATTTTTAGAAGAAAGAAGTTATTCAATTCCATATTTTTGATACTTGTTGATACTTCTAAAATCTAATTATTTATATGTTTAAAAATAAAAATTTATGTATATATATATATATATATATATATACATAACTTAAATATTTAAAGTTTTAAAATTACATATATACATAAGATAAATGTTTATTATTTTAAATTATACCAACTAAATCTAATGACGATGTATTAATTATAAAAAATCATGAAGTGGTATAGATTTTTTAAATAAATTTTTAAAATTTTAAAATTCGTAATAAATTTATTTAATTTATAAAATTTAAAGTGCCAATCAGATTTTTAATTATTTTTAGATAAATTTAATTTTTGTAAGACTGCTTTAAACACTTAAGCTTTGCATATGAGTTTATTAAGATAGGATATACATTCAAATTAAATCTCTTATTAACTGTATACATGTGTGTGTACTACTGTGATATATTTTAATAAATACAGTGGAACTTATCACAATATGTAAATAAGAAATGGAAAAAAATCATCCTTTAAAAAATGACTTCTCTTAGGAAGGAATGTTCATAAAGATTTGAAATTTTTTTGACATGAATTTACTAAATTTGAATCAAATTATCTATACATGGAGCATTTGTTTTAAATTCAGGTTAAAAAGTTAAACTGTGTTGTGTGACCCTACTAGAACTTGTTACAATCTGATAGAATAAATCTTTACAGAACTTGTAAATCGTTTTCTTGATATAGGAAAGAAATTCAATCAATGTTGAGGATTTCATTGAGCACTAAACATGAAAAGAAGTTGTTTAGTGGATTATGTTGTTTTAGGTGTTTTTCAAAAGATACTACCTACAGCATCCACTGTTGTTTTACACAACCAATGCTTCCATTTAATTTTGCATAACATTACTCATTGTGTTTGGACTATGAGGACAAAACTAATTGAAATGAAATGTTGAACTGTTAAAATTTGTTTTTTGTTTATTTACTTCCAATCTCAAATACATTGCATCTTGCACTGCAGGCAAGAAAATACAGTCAAACCACATTTTGGCTATGTGCATCATTCAGGTAACGTATTAAAAAAGTCTCTGTTAACAAATGTTTTTGATTGATTGAGGTTCACATGTAAAACTCTCACTCAAGTTTTACAAGTGGAATGAGAGCACCAGACATCCACCCAGCTAAGCAAATTCTCAACCAAAACTTTCATACAGCTAATTAGAGCCTGGCTTCTGTAAGTAGCTGAGAAAATCACAGAGAATTCAACATTGCATACATTGCTGATCACCAGTCTCTTCCAGGCAAAAAATTAGATAATCGATCCAGTCACTATCCAATAAACCATCTAGCATCTGATTTCTTTAAGGTTTGAAGAGTATTCTTAAGGGTATCTGCAAAAACTCTTGGAGGGTAGTTGCATGATTCAAGGATCTCGCTTGAAGGACTCAGAAGCTGTCTTCAACTCCACACATGTACAAATTCATTTACTTTTATTTAGTTTTACTTTAACTTGTATTGCTAAAGTATAAATAAATGATTGTAAACTGATAGCAATATTAGTCCCCTCAATGTCAATAAGCAAAGTTGTGTAATAACAGCAACCAACTTTGGTGTGAGATCAGTTCACAAATTGTTGAGCCCTTCAAGAGCACTCCTGCTTATATCTAGACCAAACTAAATAATTAAATTCACATCACTTAAAGTATGCAGGATTTAGGAAGTTGGAAGCACAATTAGACAAGAAATGTACCACTAAATAAACAATTTTTTAGATCCCACAAATGAGTCACACTGCTCTGTTCAAGTTTCGTACCTGTGATAGTACACTGTCCTAAACAAAGCACCTTTCTCAAGGATCATTAAAGAGTGCACACCTGAAACAACCTGCTCATGAGAAGGTCAGAATCCAACAGATATGATTCCAAGAATGTCGATAAGATGAGCAGAGAGCAACAAGATTTTGAGAATAGTACCATGCAATTGATCACTTCTCAAAATTCTGAATGGGCTTGCATAGGCTAGAAACTGATTAGTAGAAATAGTTTTAAAAAACAGTGAAACTAATGATTGCATGTTGCTTTATAATCTACTTAAAATCTATGCACACCACAGGAAAAGCCTAATTAAAAGAATTTAATTTATCACTCACAACTCTATCATGCATTTCCAATATACACATGATATCTCTCACACCTCTCTATCCTCCCTCAGTTAGTACTGGACTACATTTACTCACTATTAACAAGTTTATTTACCTTCACCAACAACTAAGAACCCTCACATTTTCAAAATGTTGTGGACAAACAAATCCAGTTCCTGTGGTTCTAAATCCTCAGAATAAGTTTTCGTACCACTCATTAGTTCAAGTGAACCTCAATATATCCATGCTTAGCTCAGCATGTGGATTTTATGATGCCTTGAAAAACAACTTAGGCATTCCTGTGGACACCAGCGTGTAAGTTTTAACGTGCATAGCATTTCTTTAGAAAAGACAGTATTGACATGTTGAGAATTTACTGCTGCAGACGAAAAAGTAGATACAACTTGGAAAGGCACGACAAAGAGAACAATACAATTTGTATACCATTGTTATACGTTAAAGATGTACCTGAACATAGAGTACCAAGGTATGATACACGCATTCAGGACAAGTATAAATAAAACTTATAAGCTTTATGCACAATGTCATGATACACCTGCAGCATGACTCATGAAACAGGTTAGAATAACTAAGGATAAACACTCAACATACAAGTCTCCATGTTGTGAAATTTCCAGGATGACAGAAGAATATGCACACAACAACCTGAAGACCCAGCTCAATTATCTGACTCTACATCGTTCCTCTTCCACAAACTTACTAACTTGATTTCTAATCTCGATTTAAAATAGCACAAGCTCAAGTGCTCCTGAAACAGCTCACTAAGAATTGCTGAGGCAAATCAGGATTTAGGAAGTGCATTCACTTGAGTATAACGATACGACAAAGTGAAGGAACCTCGTGTGGTTGATCTAAGCGCAACAGCGAAGCACAAGTTTACCAAATGGACGATCCCAGACCACGCAACACTCGGTGACTTCCCTGCGCCATTGTCTAACTTCTGCAACGGATGCAGTGCCTGGTCCTCTGTGACGGAGGATATGGCAACCATAGAATACCAAAAGCCGACTGCTCCGTACTCGTTAAATCTCGAAAACCCTGCAAAAAACTTAAAAAGAAATGCTATCTCGGTAACACCTTAAAAAGCACCGCTGCCGCCTCACATTTTGATGTGAAAAATTTAACGACGTTGAACTCACCACGTCAGAAATTCGAGACGTTCCCACCCAGACAAGCAAAGAACTTACATCTTAGCAAATGCATCTAGTGCGTGAGAAGAGTCTTACCTCCAATAAGCTTCTCCTCAAAGCATAGTTAGATCCCTTCTGTTGATAAAAAATGTCCAATTCCTGTCAAAAGAAGGGCACTATGCAATTCTCCAATTTAAATCCACGGGACGGAGACATCCAACGATGAAAATAAATAAATGAACAAGTACCCAAACAGCTACTTTTTAAGTTAAACCCATGGCAACTCTAACACCCGAAATGATCAAAGTAAAAGTACATGCAACGCAGCCCTTGACGCAGCCAATTGATTCCCTGGCCTTTGCTCAAATCGTGCCGCGAACGAAACATGTTGGCCTTGACAACAGCCACTTACGACATCCGTTAGCTTGTTCAGCAATAACAAAACAGGAAATGGATAGTGACAAAGTCTGTTGAGTGAGTGAGAGTGAGAGATGGGCTGTACGATAAGCCATCGTCATGGACGAACCTGACATGGAAATGTAGCTATCGTCCTCTCTTTCAACTAGATCCCCCTGTACCAGTTGGAAAATGTGATATCACCTGGTTGGGTCCCCCAGCTCAGATCTGCGTCAGCTGCGCCACGTCCAGGCCAACCCGACGCTGCACCACCATTCATGTGGCGCTGAAAGTGGCAAGCAGCCACATTTCGAGTTCGTAACAGTTTCGGAGAAAGGCCTCAAAATCCCCGGCGAATCACCAACACAATCATGAACCATAAACTGCGAAACTAGACTGACTGAAGCCTTCTGTTTTTTGTAGTGGCGCGCTGCGAGAGCGATCTCAGGCGACACATTCCCAGACAGGTTCAGATCAAGTTGCTGAAGCTCCGCTAGTTCCAAGAGTATCATCAGAGTATAGAAATCCACCTCAGTGGATTTGGAATTCGAAAAATGGGAGTGGAGAGTTTCGCCATTGAAGGCGTTTGTTCATCGCACACTACGGCCTCCATCGCGGAGACTCACACACGCCTGCACGCGCGCTCACGCACAGCTAGAGCGAGAGCGATGCCGCCAAAGTGCCGTCACGACGGCCTCAGCGCCGCGAAATGGCCTTCCTCACTTTTACTGGAATAGGGATGAATGAATAAATTGTGGATGGTGCCGTGATTTCATTCGTTCACAGCTCGGGAGGTTCATCCGGTCCCCGATCGATGAATGAATATATAAACGAACGAATGAACGAATGGATGAACGAATACATGAACAAATAGATGAATGAGTGAACGAGCATAAGACCTCAATGGTAGTATAAGGGTTAAAAATGCATAAAAATGTTTTGATCCAATTGTCCTTAAAACTCTTATGGATTTTAATGCATGAGTGTGTATGTACTAACGAGTTAAACTAAACTAGGTCACATTTGCATTTATCAATACAATTTGATTTTCTTTTGAAATTGACTAAATTATTAGTATGTGAATTTGTCATAATATTGTAAAGCTTCCATCAACTCTCTCTTCTTCTTTTTTCTTTTTCTTTCTTTTTTTTTTTTTAAATTTCAATTCTAAAGATGCTAGATTGATCACGTAATATTGCATTGTAAATGTGAATAAAATAAATAGACATTCCATTGTTTATAATTGCTCAATGATGTAAAATAATTTATTTTCAAATATATAATATAAGGTCAATAGTCAAAAAATGAACATTGCATCTTTTTCTTTTTCTTTTCTTTGCCTTGTCCTCTCATGCAGAAATATATTTAGAAAATGTAGTACACATGACATCATTTATTATTCTAGTTTTTTTGGTTATATTTTTTAATATTATTATATACACACAGGTGGGGAAAGTAGCCATGAGGGCTCTACAAGTAGCCACACCATTCCAAGTCCTAATTTTGATTCCATTGGCACAATGCTTGGGTACCCAAATGTGGGAGGAAGAATGGGAGGTGGGTAAATGTATACATCTAATTTCAATAACTTTTAAACTTTGAATTTCACCAAGAAGGTATATCCAATACTCACGGATTGGCAATGAATCAACTAACATACCATCAATATCCTTCCATGACGAAGCCAATGTCAGAGTCTATAATAACAATGGGTCAACCAGGATCCTTTACTCATCTGACATGGAACAGACCTAGTCGTTATATACCAATAGAGACACCCATTATCCCTGAAGGAGGTGGCAGGAGACCACTTTGCTGCTATCATTGCAGACAAATCAGACATTATGCGAGTGAATGTCTTAATCCAAGGGTCAGTGATGACTATGCTCCAATATGTAGAAATAATAAGCAGTCTGATCACACTTATCAGCAGTGTAATGCGCCTTTTAATTATAATAACTAGGACCAACAAATATAAACAAGCCAATCGACGGAGGATAAAGGTCATGTTCAACGAGACTTACCAGTACATTGTGTCGAGGTGGTGAATGCAATGCTTACCAGAGGCTAATAAAAAGACAAGAATCCAATTTAGGACCTGGATGAACTAATCGCAGGAGAGTAAGTAGCACCGTCCACAGGGCTAAACGAACCAATATCAGTATTGGGACGTATCCCAATATTGAGACTTCAACAAATTAAGGAACACAATTCGATTCCACATGCTAATTTATCGGGACCATCAAGATAGATCCCATCTGACCAAGTACCAATACCTGTACAGCCCAATAAAAGATCTTACACATTAAAGAAACCTTTAGTAGTAGAAAAGTTGATGAAGTTATCAGCGGCAATCTCAATTGTCATGAAGGAATTGCTACCAAACAGAGTAAAATCGAAACCAATGAAATGCAATAGAGCATTGGGAATTACTCTTAATATGGAATCCTATGATATTTTGAAGGATTTGGATGTTATTCAGCCTTCAATTACAATGAAGCAATTTTTGGTTGTAGCATCGGAATGTCGATCTACATTAAATTCAGCATTAATACGATGAAGATCTCGCACTAAAGAAATTCATGAAGTTAACTTAAACCCAGATCCGGGAACACCAACAATCGATGTATCAATCGATGGCATTTTAATTCCAGGGATACAAATTGATGGTGGCTCTAGTGTAAATTTAATGAACGTGGATATAATGGAGGACTTGAATCTAAAGCAATTGCTACCTACGATATTCGTCTTGTGAATAGCAGATCATAGTCGAGTAAAGCTAATGGGAATCTTACACAATATTACCACTGTAATCGTGGGATTGACATACAAAATCGATTATATTGTATTTTGATTACAGAGTTCTACATTATCATATCCCATTTTATTGGACAGACCTTAGCTTTATCAAGCCAAAGCTAAGAACAATTGGGGCCGAATCACATTGATAATTAAAAATGATCATGATCAGATCATTCTATAGATGTACCCGATACAATATCTTGGAGAATTTCAATTGCCAGAATCAAAATTTATATCAGACAATGAGAGTCAATCGATTGAGTAAGATGATGATGCTATAGGTTCATCGTAATTTGGGGTAGGACAAAACACTTCAACGGCAAAGGTAGGAATCTACCAATGTGGAAGTCCCGGTGAATATTTAGTACATCAAGAAGATGCGACTAACTCAGATCATGCTATTGCCGAATGGATGAACAATCCCCCAGTCAATAGAATCAGCATATTGGAACCAAAATTGGGTAGTTTCCATATGTCAGATAATACAAGATATTTAGATTAGGAGAAGCCAATTAAATCAAAGGTTGTTGAAGACCCTGTGTGTCAATCCATTAACTTGGGCACCAACGAAATGCCACAGCTAATTAAAATATATGTCAATATTATAGGTACAGAATTGGATGCTAAAAAATAGTTTTTCGTTCATCTTAAATCTGCCTTTGCGTGGTCGTATGCGGATTTGAAAGGGATTCCAATCAACATGTATGAGCACCAGATTATTTTGGAGGAGGATGTTACGCCAGTTCGTTAAAGACAACACCGACTTAATCCCAAATATTCTCTTTTAGAGAAAAAAGAATTGGATAAACTTCTCAATGTGGGTTTTATTTATCATGTTCCACATAGTGCATGGGTGTCGCCAATCGTGATGGTACCGAAGAAGAATGGAAAAATCAAGATATGTCAGGATTTTCAAAAGTTAAATACAACTATTAAGAAGGACTATTTTTCATTACCATTTACAGACAGTATTTTGGATGCAGTGGCCGGACATAAATGTTACTCATTTTTGGACGGATTTTCGGGGTATAATCAAATTAAAATTGCCAAAGAAGACAAGTTGAAGACTACATTTACCACAAAATGGGATACATTCGCCTATAAAGTAATGCCATTTGGGTTTATAATGCCCTGGCTACTTTTCAACGAGTAATGATTCAAGCATTTCAAGATTACCTACGTTTATCAATGGAGATATTTTTGGACGATTTTTGCACCTTTAGCACAATGGTTGAATATCTAGCATGTCTAGATAACTATTTGAATCAATGTGACAAGTATGGGATATCTTTAAATTTAGAGAAGTGTCAATTTGGCATACCAATGGGGAAGCTATTGGGACACATTGTCTCTGTTGAAGGTATTGCTATGGACCCCGATAAAGTTACTCGTATATTGGATTTACCAAAGCTACATACAGTGTCAGGCATGCGAGGTTTTATCGGCCATGTCAGCTACTATCAGCATTTTATTGAATCCTTTGTGGTTATTTGTCAACCGTTAACCCACTTGTTAAAGAAACCTTAGTCAGATGGATCTAGCCGAATATGGACTGAAGATTATACTTTTGCATTTGACGAATTGAAACGAAAATTGGTATCTGCTTCAATTCTTGTAACACCTTGTTGGATAAAACTGTTTCATGACTATGTAGATGCGTCCAATATTGCTATTGGATCCATTCTCAGTCAAAAGGATGAAAAAAGATTAGATCATCTCATATATTATACAAGTCGACAATTCATTGCTGCAGAACGAAATTATAATACTACCAAGTAAAAAGCCCTCGGAATGATCTATTAAATATAAAAATTCCACCACTATCTACTTAAATATCCATTTTTGTTCCACGTTGATCATGATGCACTTAAGTACATGATAAATAAACCTTAATTGAGTGGACAAATTGCTCGATGGATGTTACTTCTCCAATAATTCAACTTTATGATTAACGTTCGACCCGGCAAGAAACATACCAATACGGATCACTTATCTCGTTTATCTAATATACTAGATAATGAGCCAATAAACAATGCTCTTTTGGACACACAACTATTCACTATGAATGTCATTACACCAGAATATGGTGAATTGATCCAATATCTAACGTTTCAGACTTTTTTATTTTCTTATAATGAAAAATTAAAGAAGCATCTGATTTTAAAAAATGCGTTGTATACCATGATTGGAGATGGCTTATACAAACAAGGGCAGGATGGAATTTTATGCAGTTGCATCTTTCAAAGTAAAGTTCGTAGAATTTTGGAAGGATGTCATTTGGACAGTTGTGGAGGACATTTTGCAGGTGATAGCACCGCACGTAATGCTTTAATGGCTGGATATTGATGGCCAACAATATTTTTGGATGCATGCCAATATGTTCGTCATTGTGATCCTTGTCAACGAATTGATCGCCCTACTAGAACTTCTGCAATACCATTGGTACAAATTTTGGAACGGGCACCATTCGAAAAATGGGATATTGACTTTGTAGGATCCATTGCATCTACCTCTCGAAATAGACATAAACGTTATATTCTAGTAGCTACTGATTAAGTCACCAAATGGGTGGAGGCCATGGCAACGAAAACTGATAATATCAATACCATAGAAATATTTTTATATGAGAACATTATCACTCGTTTTGGCTATCTGAAGGAATTGGTTAGTGATTGCAGAACACATTTTATTAATGCAATAATTGAAGCATTAACAGCGAAGTATGAGATCAAGCACC